TTTTTTTTTTTTTTTTTTTTTTTGAGACAGGGTCTCACTATGTAGTTGAGACTGAGCTGGAACTCACTATGTAGCCCAGGCTGGTCTCCAACTCACAGCGATCTTCCTGCCTCAGCCTCTGAGTACAGGGATTACAGGCATGCGCCGCCACGCCCAGCTCTTAGGGCCTCTTTTAAAGCAGAGAGGAGCTCAGGAACTTTCCATCTGTGTTGGTTTTATCTATCAATATTCTCCATGCCTGAGCCTAAAACCAAGAAATGCAGGACACTTCCGGGAAGATGGCGGAGTGGTGAGCAGCAGAGAAAGAGACTCTTGGAGATTTGCTGTCCCGACACCGGAATTAGCAGCACGAGGAGGAGAAGGAGGGAAGTGGGTCCTGAAGGATCTGGGGCAAGAACTGAAGTCTACAGGGAGAGTGAAGAGAGAGACTTAACGAAGAGGAGGGAAGTACCAAGCAGTGCTCCCTCCCAGAGCCCGGACTCATCGAGGGAAAGGCAGGCCAAACCTTTAGATGCATAGTGACTACCGGTGATCCCAGAGGCCTCCGCGGAGAAACCCACCCGTGGAAAGGAGCAGTGGACGCAGCGGACTGCAGCGGCTGGGGTTCAGACCTCACCCAGCAGAGGGTGATTGGCCGGTAGCCATCTTGGAGAGGGGCGGGCTGAGCCCAGAACTCAGAACAGCTGCGGGCAGACTCCATCTAGTGGCTCCTGGTGCCTCAGTGTGGGTGCTGAATTCAAGTCAGCAGAAGGTCAGCGAGCCGGGTTCAAGACAGCTGGAGACACATAAGCTGTTGTAGGCTCCAGGAATGTTTCTCCATCCTCATAACCAGAAACCGGCCTGAACTTCAGAGGAACTAAGGGGCAGGCTGGCTGGGATTACCCACTACCCCACCGGGACTCCCCTTTCTGGGATTAACCAATTTGGCTCTGGACTCTCTTTACCCACACTGCCTACCAGTGACATCAGAGACACACCTTGAATTAGACGTTTGGGTTTCTTTTCTTTTTTCCTCCTTTCTAGTTCTTATTTTGCTTTTTCCTGATTGTTTAAACATGCTTTGTAGTTTTTTGTTTGTTTGTTTTCCTTTTGTCTTTCCCACCTGCCTTCTTCAGTTTCCTAATGTCTGTCCTCCAGCCTTGCTTCCGACCTCTTCCTCTTCTATTTCTGTTTTGTTTTTGTCTTTGTTTTTGTTTTAACCTCCTACTCCTTTTAAATCTCTCCTAAGGGTAAAATTACCATATTAAGGGCTACAGTTTGTCATTTTCTAGGCTGTATTTGATGCTGTTGTTATTGCTGATTGTACTACTTTAGCCAAGCTGACATAACTGTGTTAATCAATTGTTCCTCCTGGTATACCTAGACTGAGATTGCCTATGGGTCTTTCAAAAACAAAAACAAAAAGAAAACCTATAGGCCAATGCCAAAGAACTGGCAACTGGGCCAAGTAGGCAGAAACTTCTCATCCCCAATAAACTGAAGAGGTAGAATCCTGCAACAGACTCAAAACCCAAAAGCCAGCTACACCTGGAAGACGCTTCTGAAAAGCAGTCACTTATTAAGCGTTCTGAATACTGGCAATAAAGCTACTTGCCATAAGCAATTTACAAGCATCGACCCAGGAGTCAGACTTCAAAAAGAAAGAAATGAGAAGACACTTAAACAAGATGTAACACACACACACACACACACACACACACTTTGAGCTCACCAAAGGCAAACCCTGGGGGGCAATGATATGGAACAATCCAAAAGTCACCCACCTGGATTCTCTGAAGTGGTAGCAGCAGAAGTGACAAAGCAGATGAACTTGAGGCTCTAGAGAAATGAAGAAAGCCCAAGACCATAAAGACCCCTCCACCAGCCCCTGGAAAATGCTATAGTAGCTCCTCGGGGAAAGGAAGCAACAGGTGACCAGATATTGCCTCCATGGGAATTGTAATCTCATGTAAGGTCTCAAGAATGAGGGCTGAAGTTTCCTGCCAAGTCTTCTTCCCTGGGATGGCTCTTTGCACACCCATAAGCAGCCTGAGCACCCAGGTGCCAGAAACACAACACTACAGCAGCTGTGGCCAACTCCCAAGTGGCCAGGTGGAGCTCTGGGGGACATGAGAGGCGGGTCTGAAAGCAGCCACCTCCCAGCCCAACCCAGTAGATGGCTGACAGGCTATAAGTCAGGCAGGAGAGTGCACAAGTCTCCCTGTCACTCCGTGTCCCTGGGGTCTCCTACATGGATGTCTGCTAGATAGTATTTCCTCCAGAGAACCTAAGTGGCCACTGCTGTGTTCCTAGGTTATTAGAGGAAATCCCCATCATAGACTCACACTCCCCTCAAGGGCCAGGAGCTGCAGTTAGTGGGGGGCAGCTCCTGGCCTTCTCTGCCACCCACCAGTCCATCATCTCAGCTGTGGTCACTGCTCCAAAAGAAGCCTCCAAAACTGGGCCCTTGGCTGTGGTCTGGGGCCTGTCACAGTCTGCCACCTGACCCCGAATTATCCTCACATCGGCAGCTGCTGTGTCCCAGCACCCGATGCTCTGCCCACGTCATTCAAGCCTCTGGATCTTACAGAGACGAAGGTGCCACTATGTTTCAGACAGGGAAACAGAGGCTCAGAGACATTAAATGACTTGGCCGCGGTCACACAAAGTTTGGAGGTAGCAGTGCCTGGTTTCCATACCATACCTCTGGAACTCTTGACTCCTAGCATGCTGCGGGAATTCTAGACTGAGACACTCTAATGACAAGCAGGGCTGCAATGTGTTCCCTTTCCAAAGCAGCAACTTTCCTGCCAGCCAGAGTCCCCTCCCACCTCTTTGCCTGGGGAGGGTGCATCCTTGTCCCTGGTTCTTCCTTCCCAGGAGGGTCTGCTACTCCGACAAGGGCAGTCTGATCTGCCCCGGTGACAAAGGTCAGCAGAGCAGCACCAAACACTTGTCCTCCCCCACCTGACCAGACAGAGGCCAGCCTCTGGGCAAGAATCACACTCATTCTTCTGGTTCTCAATGCGCTTTGCAAATGCCAGGCAGCTGCAGCCACACGCTATTCAGCTATTCATTCCTAGCTCTGGGTTTGCAATATTTGCAGATGCACTCATGGCCTGGCCTGGCTTCCCACTGGTCAGCAGGTTTCTGCTGGCCAGGAGCAGACCCCCAATGACTCAGACCACTCCAGCAAAGCCCCCCATCAGACCCCAGTTTTCCTTTTGCTCCCTCACCAGAGAATCCTGAATCCATCCCAGTTTCCTTCCTGGGCAGGGAAGGGTGCACATGTCTGGTTCAGACCCAGGATGATGCTGAAGTTTGGCTCAGCCTCTCCACTGCTCCGCTGATGGACATGCTGTCCTAGCTTCCCTAGGTGGGGCTCGGGGAAGCTCCCTCCCCAAACACAGGCTGCAGAGGATCCCTCTGCACCGGCCTCTTGGAGATCCCCGTACTCCCTCGAGGGTCCTGCTGCACCCTCCCTTTGGGATCCCAGCTCCCCCATGCCCAGCCAGCTGCAGCGTGCCCTCCGTGTCAGTCCCCACCCCTTCACAGGCCCCCTCTGTTCCCACACGCCCCTACCTCGCATCCCGCACTCTCCAAGGCCACCGGAGGGCAGCGCTGGACTGGGAAGACCTGAGAGGTCCCGGGTGACGTCAGCCGGAGGGGCAGGGACGAGGCGGGACCTAGAAAAGTGCCTGAGAGGAAGGGATGAAGAGGAGGACCATGTGTGAGGAGCCACGCCTCAGAGGACACCCCATCACTCCCAGAAATGCCCCTGCTGGGGGTCGGAGATCTTAAAGCCAGGCAGGTGAAGGGGTAGCCCAGCTACTCCCATTCGCCCCCAGCTGAGACAGGTGAGCCTGCTGAAGCACTTGCTCTGACTGCCCCTCTACCCCTTTGCTTCCCGCCTGGAGAGGGGTAGAGAGCTGAGGAGCTGGTGGGCCTCCCCAGGAGGAAAGTCCATGTGTCAGCACTGGGAGGGGGATAGAGCCACCCAGAACCACTGTCACCAAACCTAAGCCAATGCTACTGTGCCCTTGGGTGGGGGAGCAGTTAATTTGGGCAACAAGTAACACTGCTTCTGTGCCAGGTTAGAAACTGAGGGGTGGAGATGGGCGGTCTACCCTGCCCCCAAGGTGCCTAATGTAGGATTTGTGCTCAGAGGGGAGCTCTATATGCCCCTGTGGCTCTGGGAGGTGGGAGTCACCCCCTGATGGCCCCTACCAGCCACTGTTGGCTAACAGGAGGTCTCTACCCTCTTCCTGGCATCACCTGGGGTGAGTCAGACTGGGGGTGCTGGGCAGAGTAGGGGGCTCAGTGCTCAGGACACAGGAAGAGAGCCAGGCATCTCAGCTGGCCAGCAGCCTCTTCTTAGTGCCCACAGCTGGTGGCCCTGGGGCCAGGCATCCCCAAGGCCATCTGGGAGTGTGGCCCTGGATCCCTGCCAGACACCCCCAGCCAGGGCACAGCCTGTGCCCAGCCTTACAGCAAAGGCAGCATCTGGCTCCAGCGAGGCCCATAGGCCTTTCCCCAACTGCCCTTTAGGATGAAGCTTCCTCCAGGCCCGGGATCACCCACCCACCCTGCCCTGCTCTGCAGAACCGCCTCTGCCATGCCTGGTGGGTGCGTCACCACTGTCCTCCAGCTATTGGAAAGAGCTTTCCTGATGCCTTAAAAATGAGAACAGTAAATCTCCATTGTAGACAATCTGGGAACTTCAGAAAAATAGAAAAGCTAAAGACTCCATCATCCACCCTATCCTAACTTCAGCCACTTTCCTGACTTCTTGCCAGACAGCTAGCCAATGTTTTGCCCTCCACATTCAAAGGTATTTTTCCTGCACTGAGGATAAAACCCACAACCCTGTGCACTGAGGCTTGAACCCAGAGGTTCACACTGAACTACATCCCTGGCTCCTTTCTCTCCATCTCACTGTATTGTTAAATTGCCCAGTGAGGCTTGAATTGCAATCCTCCTGCCTCAGTTTCCCAGAGTGCTGGAATTACGGGTGTGTCACACTGCCCCCAATTCGTTAAATACATTTTTTAAGGGACTCCCGACATACTCCACTTTGCCGACAGCTGAGTCACTCAAAGGCCTCCCTGTCAGTGGCTGCCAACCACAGCACCTTTAACCTGACGGTCCACACCACCACATCCTGCTGTATGGATGAGTCGTCTGCTGCCTTGGGACATCTGGGTTTTCCCAGTTTCCCTCTGTGGCGTCCACAGGGATGAGGAATCTGTCTTCACAGATATCTGCACAAGTATCTGACATGCAGCTTACCCCCTTTGGATAAATTCCTACACATAGATTCTGACTCAAAATGCTCCAACATTTCTGACACATGTGTTTCCCCATGCATTCTGCTAGGGACAGGAAACTCAGAACTTGTGAAAAGATCCATGCTGTGTCCTGATGGTTACAGAGACAGTATAGGACACCTGTCCCTACCTTCACCCACCACTGCTCCAGCAGGGAAGGCTTGAGCACCTGGGAGTCCCCATGGGTCAGGACCCCAGCTGCCCCATTGAAGGCACCCCCACAGTGAGGGTACTCAGGTGGACCCCCAAGCTAATGCCCTCTCAGCCTACCCATCCTGTACACGGGACACACTGGTCTCCACCCCACTGGACTCTAGACCTCTCTAGTGGATGCCACAGTCCATTCCAGAAATAAGCCTCCATGTGGGGCCCCTGTTCCTTCAGCCAGATGGGCAAGGAGGCTCCACACCTCACCTGTGCCACCATCCTCTGACCCTGCACTCTTGGGCTACCAGACACCTCAGTGCTGCAGAAGAACAGCCCCCAAAGGTCTGCCCACCTGCACCCTCAGAACAGGATCCTACTTGGAAAAAAGAATCTCTGCAGATAGCACAAGGGCCTCAAGATGAAATCAATAAGAGCCACAATCCAGCATGTGTCCCAAGAAGAGACAGGAAGTAGGAACAACAGCACCTCAAGGGAAAAGAAGAGGAAGGGCCTTGCCCTGGAACCCCCTGCAGATATCTTGCTCTCAGATTTCTGGTCTTCAGAGTGTCAAACTTGTGCTGCTGGGGGGCAGCGTGTTTGTGGTGAGTCGTTCTGGCAGCCATGGGGAAGTCACCCAGTTTGGAAAAGATGAAAATGTGTGAACACAGACTGATGTAATGATTGGGAGCGATCCTACACATGTTCCCGGTACACAGGTCCCTGGAGTCGGGCATTAATTCATTTAGCAGACACCGTGAAGTGCTGGTCCCCAGGACAGGTTGATTGTCCTCTCTGTGCAGCTCAGCCCTGTCTTACCTCCAATGCAAGCCACTGGGCCAGCAGGCAAGAGGAAGGGAGCGAGCAGAGTGGGACTGAGATGGAGGATGAGCTTGTGCCACAGGCAGAGGGGCCTGGGGCTGATGGAGGCCCCAGGGGTGTCTGCCGCCATCCTGAGGCCCCAGGGGGAGCAGGGGTGGGGGTGGGAATTGGGTGAGTGATGTTCAGATGGGAGCGCATGAAGGACACAGGGCCAGAGCCTAGCAGGACTCTGTTCTACAGGACTAAGGGTCTGCTTCTAAAGGGTAAGGATGCAGAGTCAAGGCCTCAGTTTCCCCAGGGACCCCTGATACCTGAGCTAGAGCAGCTGCCCCTGCAATACAACAGAAAGCTAAGGCCCCTGCCATCTGCCTGGTACTTCCTGAGCTACAGATTTCCATGGACTCCAACTCTCTAGGGCCCCAGCCCATCCGGTCCTGGGGAGCTGAGGGCCCTTCTCAGGCATGGGGAGGGGGATGTGGTCCTCATGCTACATTAAGGGGGCATGAGGTTTCCTGACATCCCCACCTGTCCTGGGCTGAGCCCTGCACTGCTCCTGCCGTCTGAGCCACCTGGGGTTGGCGTTCATCCCAGTCCCGGGGCTCGGAATGCCCTTGTTCCCTCCAGAGAGCAGGAGGGGTGGAGGCTGGGGGCTCAGTTGGAATCCACCCTCCAACACACACAGTGAAGGTCTCCTTGGCTGTGTGGCTCACACCTCTCCTCAAGCTCCCAGGGCTGTACCGAGGCTGGGGGAGGGACCTGGGCAGGGCAGGCACTGTCTGCCTGAGACATGGTCTCTGCCTGTGTGCCTGTTTCACCTCTGCAGTTTGTCTGTCTCCTAGGTACATTTTGTTCTCCCCTAACCCACCTCCTCCCCCTTAGCTTCCGTCTCTGCTTCTGTGTATCTCTCTGTTTCTGTCTATCTCTCTGTCCCCATCCCTCTGTCTGTTTCTCTGTCTCACTAATATTTCTGTCTGTCTCTGTGGGTGGGTAGGTCTCTGTCTCTCCATCTGTCTCTCCTGGTGTTTCGCTCATTTGTCACTGTCACCCTCCCTCCAGAAGCCCACTTGGTTTCCTGCAGTCAGAGACAGGTGAATGCCCACCTGTCACTTCTTCCTCTGGGAGAGATCTCCTGGGATTAACGTGCCCTTGGGGTCAGTGACCTAGGCCAACCCCATGGCCTGCAACACCTGTCAGGGTTCACCTTGGCTCTGGGCTGTTGGGAGACAATCCCACAGACCCTGCATTGGGACCTGACACAATGAATGTGGTCCTAGGTGCCCAGAGCAGGGTGCATTGGCTGCCCAGCTAGGACAGGGAGTGGTGGGCAGACCTGGGTCCTACCCAGCTGAGCTGGCTAGTGAGTCCAGGCAGCCTCCCCTCCCAGACCCACTCCTCAGCTCCCCAAGAGGCAATGAGGCTGATGGACTTGCACAAGGAGGGGCACCAAGGCAGGAACACTGGCAGCCCCAGGCACTCTCCAAACTCTGCCTGCAGCAGCCCTGCCCAGCACACACCCAGCACTCATCCTTGTCATCCCCATGACCTCAAAGGCTCTGTGTGTGGTGATCTGCCCAGGATGCCCACCAAAGGCCACACCCAGGACCTGGAAGTCCCCTCCCCTGTGGTCAGCAGGCAGGGGAGCCCAGGGAGGCAGAGCACAGCACAGCAAGCCTATGGTACCGACTCCCAGGGCAGGAGCTGCCTGTGAGGAGCTAAGGCGCAACCACGTCCAGCCTTGCCCTGCAGCCACAGCTCTGTGGGAACACAACGTCACAGAAGTCACAGAACTTGTGGCCCAGCATCTTTGTCCAAGTCCTCAGGACTGGGGTGAGAGAGGATACCAGGGGTCTTGGGGGAGAGCCAGTCAGATGAATGGCTGGGACATCCCAAGCCAGCACCTTGGGGAGGCCACACCAGTGTGGGGTGAGGGGATATGAGGAGGCCCTCCCTCAACCAGGCCAGAAGCCTGGGGGCCAGGGGCTCCCAAACTTTCTTCTGTTCCTATCCTGGCCCGCCTTCCTCCATACCCACACACCCTGTCACCAGGGAGTGTCCAGCCACCCTCCAGCTCTTTGGAGTGCCTGTCCCTTTCCAGCCCCTCTGCTTCCTCCCAGGACCCAGCAGACAGTGACCTGCCAAAGACTCCCCACCTGCAGAGAAAGCCCAGCCACTCGCCCATGCTCCGTCCCAGTGCCCCCCAACCCAGCTGGGCTCCTTCAGTGGACGGAGGCCCCTGACCTTGTTCCCATGCACTCTGGTTGTGCCCTGGCACCTTGGGGCTCTGGACTCCTGCCCACTGCCAGGACCACTCCCACC